GGACAAAGGCAACAAGAAGTGGACCTTTGTTCCTCCTATTTTATGTTCAAGTGAAGCTTTGGAGGTAGAGGTAGTAGTTGCATGAATAGTGTGTTAATACTAAGTTTTCGGTGGTGCTTTCTCTTGTTGGTAATCCCGTAGTTGGAGTGATAAATCTAATTTTCATGAATTCCAAGCACTCAAAATTAAAGGTGGCATTTTCCATACGTTGACTCTTACTTGTGATTTGTTTTTTTATTTTTTTATTTTTTTATTTTTTGTTTTTTTTTGTTTTTTTGTTTTTTTGTTTTTTTTGTTTTTTGTTTTTTTTGTTTTTTTTTTTTGTTTGTTTGTTTGTTTTGTTTTGTTTTGTTTTGTTTTGTTTTTTTTTTTTGTTTTTGTTTTTGTTTTTTTTTTTTTTTTTTTTTTTTCTGTTTAGTGATTGAGCTCTGACTGCTTTAAAATTCTTTTAGGGTCACTTTTTCTATATTTTTGTGTCGCTATGATACATGTATTGTAGTGTAATATCATATTTATTAGAATAATTAATATAAAGCTTCTATTTGGAATCATAACCAAAGATTTCTCTTGCTATAGTAGAGAGGTGCTATAATACTATGCTATTGCTATTGTTAGTTTTTGTTATTTTTCTTCTCTTAATTGTTATTTAAAAGCAGTGTCATGTTGTGGTTCTATTATCATGTGAAAATAATGTTTTTATACATTTAATACATAATATATTGGATAATATAGTGAAAGCCATGTTAGTGGATTTTTGTTGATTATAGGATGTGGATAGATTATAACTTCAAAAAGAGATGGTTTAAAAAAATTTCTATTAGAATTTATATAACTTTCTTTCGTTTTGATAGTGACTTTGAAGTTGATCTTATTAGTAGTAAGTTTTAAATATTTAGAGTCACCTTTGTTAGATATTAGTGATCCATAAAGTCTTATTCTGTTTCTTTAATCTTGTAAAGAAAAGAGTTGGAGGGAGATTTTGGTAGCAAAAAGAGAGTTTAGGGCATCCATATAGATGAATGGAAATGGATGATAAAAATCTTCATTCCTATTGATCAAAAATCATGACCAATGGACTTTAAGGAGGCTGCTTGAGGCCATATTAGAGATTAAGATTAGCTTTTTGGAAGAATTCGAGCTTTAGAGGCTACAGTTAGCAAATTTAGGTTTTTGGCTATGGTTTTGGTACAAATTTTGAGTCATTTGGAGTTTATATGAAAGAGATATGGGCGCCCAAGGTTATGGTGTTGATTTTGTACCTACTGTCACTCTTTTGGATATAAGACATGCATACAGAAAGCAACAGAGGATCGTCAATTGATTTTGAAGAGAATACTTTATTGGCTATATTTTATGGATATTTTTTGATGAATTTTAAGCTAAAATAAAGGAGTTGTTGGAAGTTGAAGTCAACATTTAGAATCTAAGGAGTTGTAAATGACCCGAATTGCTAGTAGTTATGTTTTGAGCTATATCTTGTGTAATTTGACAAGATTTTGGCTAAGAATTTCTAAAAATGTATGTTTTTATATTAATAAACTTTATATATAAGATTTGTGACATTTAGATTTTAGATATGTGGAATATGAAGAAAATAGTATATAGGTGCTTGTGAATTTGGGTTTTGAAGCACCTGCTAGGGTTTTTAAGATGTCAGACGATTGGTAGCGAATTTACAATTAAATTTTTATAAGATAAAGCTTAAAGGTAAATTCTATATTATCCATGAATTTGGAAAATTTTAACGGTTGGATCAAAAGATATGAATTTATAAAGTTCAGGAAGAAGAAATCTTTTGTAAAAATATTATATTTTGAAGGGATTTTATTACAACTTGAGCATTTAATGCAAAATAAAGGAGTATTTTGGAAGCCAAGACTTTATATATATGTTAAAGATGGATATATGGAGCTATGGTTGAATTCTTGTATAAAGATGAGTTTTTGAGAGGAGATTGTGGCTTTTCTTTGAAGTTATTGAAAACCTAATCTATCATCAAATGGTTAGCTATGATTTGGTATAGCTAAGAATGTTAGAAAATTTCTAGATATTTTAGAAAGCCTTATGTACAAACCTTCTTAAATATAAAAGGTTTTATTAGTAAAGTATCTTTTTGATATTGTAATATTTATTTTTCTTCTACTTTTAAGATTAAATAACTTATTGGAGCTTGGCCAATAAGTTAAAACTAAACTCTCTATAGCTAGGTACCCAATGTATTCCCAGATAGAAAACCATGCAATATGACAATGATGTCTAATAAGGTGCCAAATTTGGTTGTTGAGTTTGTGGTATTGTAGAATTATAACATGGCTATTTCTTATTGAATTTGAGTTCAAACAATTAGATTTGTTGGCTTTGATAGTTGTTCTTGCTGTGTTTTTCAGTTCCTTGAGTTATAGCCGATGGATTTGCTTCTTTATATTTATTTAAACTTTTGCTATTGTAGCTTTATGGAGATGAAGAAGATTTCATGATTGCAATGATATAGCTTATTGTATTGAAGTCATGCTAGGAATGGCATGCAATGATATTTATTATGGTGTTGTCATTCTTGCATTATTTCTCTGTTCTTTTTTTCTTATGTATTATTGTTCTTGATCTTAATTTTTATTGAGGCAATTAGCCAACATCTCCTGAGACCTTTCTTTATTTTATTTTTTGACTATGTCTGTTTCAATAAGTGACTTAACGTCATTTTTTGAATGTTGAGTGTTATAAACATTGCATAGTGTTGTTGTAGTATATCTTTGATGGTGAAGGCAATAGCCAAGGCATTGATTTTGTATTATATTTACTTCCATTGTCTTCTTAATCTTCATCAATTTTATGATATCTTAGCCGAACCATCGAGTCATTTATACGCCTTTACTTATGTCATCTAAACATCGCAATTATGGGATGAGACAAGCCTTGTTTTTGTAAATAGAGTAGAAAAGAATGATATTGGATATGGACAACTTTTGGACATTATTATGATTGTTAGAGAAGGCATCCAATTGTATTAAAGAGCATAGTCTAAGCGGATTAGTTGACGAGAGTGGTAGATAAGCTTGATCATTACTAGTTGTCAATAATTTTGCTTGTAAATTTTGACCTCTGAAGAGGTTTAAAAGATCAAGTGAATTAGCACAACTCTTAGAATTAATTAATTGAAGGATCATAGGAAAATGAATTTAGTTTAAAATTGGTAATTTTAATAAAATTCTTATATAGATGCAACTAAAGGATTTCGAGAGGAACACTTATTGACTATCAATATCAAACTCCTAGAATCAAGATATATGATTTGAATTAGCATCTCCAATAAATATCTCTAAGAGTCTCTTAAGTAGGAATAACCTGATATCAAAGCGAATTTAGGACTAAGATAAGTTAAGATGTAATTTAGATTTTTGGATGAATAAAAGGAAATGAAGTTTAATAAAAAAATAAATTAAATAGATGAATTTTTTTCAAAAATTTATAAATTATTATTTGAGGATAATTTTTTGCTAATGGATAAATATTGATATATTAATTTAAAATCAAATACATGTCTATGAAGCTTCTAAGAAACTTTGCCACAAGATAATACCAAATCTTCCTACATATATCTTCTATCTAGTACTTCTTAAGTAGGTAAGTAGGTAAGTAGGTATATTAGTGATATTGTTAAGCCATATACAACAATCAACATATTGAGAAGAAAGCAATTATCATCACCTTGTATTAAATAGATAACAATCAAGAGTTTGAAATTGAAGAAGTCTTGGATTCAAGGAAGTGCCATAATAATTGAAATATTTTATTTATGTGTAAAAATATAATATTGATGAATATTCATAAGAACCATATAAGAATTTGATAAATGCAATAAAATTTGTCTTTTCTTTTCATCAACAACATCCTTCAAATCCAAAAACTAACTTTGTAGAATTACTTTGTAAATATAAAAAAATAACATCCAATAAATTCATTTTAAAAAATATTATTTATTGAATTATAATTTGAAATACTTATATTATTTTAATTTAGACAACATAATAATTATAATAAAGTTCTTCAAGAAAGACATATTTTTCTTCTAATAGATGGTTAGAAATTACATATTTAATACTATGATCTTAAAAGAGACTTTCAAAGGTTAGTGATATTATTAGAGGTCGATACTACATTTCATAGAATGTAAAAAATATTATTTGATAGTAGTTATGAAGGCCTTAATAATAATCAAAATAATTAGATGGTCTTTTTCACTTGATATGAAACATTATTAATAGTTAAAAGGACCTATTAATCACCTTCTTACAAAATAAAGATCAAAGTTTATTACTTATATTATTCAACAAATCTTGAACTTCATCAACTTGTGAAGTAATGATACAATTCTTATAAAATTTGATTCTTGAAAACAAAGGTAATTTAATGATAGCTATATTTATTTGCATATTTACTTAGATAAATTGAATCAAGTAGAAGTCAATATGTGAGTCAATGAATTGACTTACTTAGATATTTCGTATATAAAATATACTTGTTAAGCTTAAAATCGGAGATTTTGTAAGTAAGTAGTAGAATTTTTACAAAAAAATAGAAAAGAGATTGCTACTAGTGGATATGCAATCTAAGATAGAGTTTAGTAAAAACAATTATACAAAGAATATATTTTTTAATTAGCTAATATTAAATGAACGACCAAAGAAAGTAGTCTTGGTGTCAAAAAGAAAAAAGAAAATTTTATTTATTAATATTTTCTAATAAATATATATATATATATATATATATATATAAGAGATAAATAAATAAATGAAAATTAGGAGCAAAGTCAAAGAAGAAAATGTATATATATATATATATATATATAATCAAAGAGGTAGAAAAGCAAAGAAGAATATTAAAAGAAAAGTAGAAGAAAAGATAAATAAATAAATAAATAGTGAGAGAAAAAGAAAAAAAGGTGATTAGGAGAGCTATAGGCTATCAAGGAATGGCGGTAGCCTCTGCATTGATAGGGTTCCAGCTGCCCGAATCCCTCTCCTTCTTCTTTGTTTTATCTCCGCATTGTGATAGAACTCCGTACCTAGGCAAAATCTGTGAGTTTTTTTGTTCTTTTCCCGTACGATTGAAGATGCAGCGGTTGTGTTAACACTGCACCTTGTTGTGGCTGTTTTGTATTTTTTGTAATTCTGGGCAAACGGCAAGCTTGGTTTGGCGCAATTGTGATGCTTCATTTCTGATTCTTACAGCACCAAGTGATTAGGTGTGCATACTATTCTTGAACTCGGACATCGTGGTTGTAGGACCTTAATTTTTCTTCTCTCAAGTTGGTCATGGATTGCGGCCTCTTGCAGCTTCTGGTTTTGAGCTTGTAATTGTAAGCTTGAATTGTTGTAGGTTTAATTGTGGTTGACTGTCTCGTTGACCTTCCTTCGAGATCCTATTTGCTCGGTGAGCAAAGGGGAGGATATTGGCTAAATTTATGGTGGCGCTAGTGCAAGAGTCGGCATTGCGATGCAGAAGCTTATATTGATCCCAGGGAACTTTCGAGGTGGATCCAAGAGCGGCTGAGGAGGTTGTGTTGGGTTGTCCCATTATGAGCTCAACAAGAGTTGTTGTCCTCATGTGTAGATTATTGGAAGTGGCGATGCGTCGCATGTGATTGACGTTCCCTAAATGTAAATCCGTTGAAGTAGCATCAACATTTGCATTTAACTTCAACTTTGTTAGAGTTTTAGTTGTTTGTTTAGTTCACTGGAGAAGTGCGGTTTTGGTGCCTTGGTGGTATCTATCGTTGTGGTAGACCTTGTTGAAGGATCCACTTGGCTATGATCATTGGTTTTTGCACAATGAAACTTGATACATTGACATTGTGTTCAAGGCGGTGGAGGCGTGATCATCTGATTGGTTGTCATCGCTTTGAGGTACGTGAGTTGTAAAGTTTGGTGAAGGCAATCTTCTAGTTCCAACCTAATTTACATCTTCTCGGTGTTCACGCTTGGTCAGATTGTGCTTGCGCGGCGATTGTCTGATTCTGTTGAGGTGCTGACCACATCTATGCGTGTGGATCTGCTGTCGTTAGTGTTTTTAGGGTTGCAAGAGCAATCAAAGCCACATGGATAGCGGAGTTGTCGGTTGAGTAAAGAATTTTTTATTTGCTCACATGTACGGTGGCTGCTTGCGATTGAAGACTCTTGAGACTTGACATGGTTGCGTGTAGTCTGATAGAATTGTTACAAGTTGTCACCTAGCGATTGGAGCTACCATTTTGGATCCTTGCAACAATGTGGCTCATTGCACAATAGTGGGTAGCACTGGGGGAACTCATCGATTTGACATTTTCATTGGTGGCTAATTTTGGCGACATAGGAGTGTACACAAAAAAAGGGTACTTGTTAATGCTTTTTAGAGGCTCTTAATTCTTTCAACTTTTGATTGAGTAATTGTTTAGCAAGATGTGATTCGGGCTGCTCAACATGAGCTGTGCCTTGAGAATCGTCTGCAAGGAGAAAAAAAAACGATTATTGATGAACATCCGATTGTTGTATTTCCAAGAGTACATAGCCTCGTCCATTTCCTTAGACATTGTGTGGTTCAATATTATTGGAGTCGTTGATAGCTATTGAGAGCGCACAGATCCCATGAAGATCGTGAAGAGGTTGTATTACATCGAATACTTTAAATTAGCCTTGGGCAATTCTATAAAACTTTTTGCAGTGTTGTTGCAGCGACTTCATTCAAAAATTATTACATAACACAACCCAAGGGCGGTGTGCAATGAGATGTGCATTGCGCCATTGTGTTCAGCATTACCATCGACGACCAACTCTTCCCTATTAGAATTGCTACATCGTCGTGGAAGAAGATCTGTAGGTTTTTGTTATATCAGTGGCAAACTCACAGTTTTACATCAAGATTTATTGGCTGAAGAGAGCCCTTGAGCCATCCAACATCACCAGCGTGGTAGCTCAATTTCATCGCACAAGAAATTATCTAGAGCTTGGGGTTACTCAGCAAAGGGTGGAAAACGCATTCCGTCGCTTGCTTGCATCTAGCTGTCTGGATTCAAGACTCTCGCCCAGATTGCCATCTCTAAGCAGCATCACCCAAATTTTGTGAGTGGAGATCCTATATTAAGCTGGATGTGGACAACTCAATTTGGATGAAGTTCTAACGAAAGATGAATTTTTTAAATTAGATTAAGTATGTGGATGAAGAATATGGATGAATTGTTATTCAAGGATGAATTTTTGTTAATGAATGAACTTTGATTAAAATAAAATAAAATAATACTACTAATAATAATAAAAAATAAATAAAAATAATAATAAATGAAGAAATAAATATAAAAAAATAATAAACTTAAAGAAGGAAATTTTTATGATATTAAGTGGTTAAGTGATTTACTATTATGAAGGTAAATGTGTTATATGGCTTGTATAACATTGCCACATATGTTTAAAAGAAAGAGAGAGATCTTCTTCACACTTATCAAAACCTTCTGTTTTTTTTTATCTTTATTCAAGACTTTCTAGTGCTTTTGTATTTCACAATAGCTACTATAGTTTCAATTCTATATCTATCTATTAGTTGTATACTTTCATTTTGTTGATGATATAAGAATGTATTATCATTTTTAGAATTTTTTTTGTACTTCATGTTCTTGATAAGTGTTGCACAATTGAAAAATAGATCTTTTACAACTTGTATAAATATCTTATCGCCAACAAATAAAGATTGAATTTTTTTGTTGGTATTTAGACTAAATGCCCTTGTGCGGGAGTAACTGAAACAAGAAACAACGGTACGGTTATTTGTTAAAGGTGTGTTCATGTTTTAACACTCTCACACGGAAAATTCATGACCGGTAATTAAAACATCGAAAAGTGAAATCGATGCAGCTGAAAAGTGCCTCTAGCGACCTCTATGTCCTTTTGACAGAAGCGGAAGCATCTTGGGTGTTTGATTCTTGTTCCAAGCTGCCATTCTCGGAACTTGTGCGCAGCAACGCTAAACTCAGCAAATAAGACACTAAGTGCTCGAATTAAGTTCAGACAGAAGAGTTCCAACATTCAATCCATCTACCAGATTAAGGGAGAGAACAAATTCACTAGTACAAATAGAAGATGCCAAAATATGCCGCAATCCTCCACGAAGCTCGTGGGACTTTTGCCTGGCTGTAATTGAAAAAGTCTTCCCCTTCTCGTTGGTGCGATGATAGCAGGCACGAGAACGACGCGCTTCCTCGGTTGTGACGCCACGCAGTATCCTTGAATGGGAACCCAGTACTGCAGGATGGGGTGTCGATTAGAGCGGGGCTTCATTCAGGTCCGATCCGCTAGAAAGATGATGGAAACCGACGTCGCTTCAATCGATATCGAAATCGACATTATCTTTCTAGATTAGACAGTACAAAGGAGCAAAAAAGATGCGGGGAATCCTCTGGTGAAATCTGCTTAAGAGTTCCGGGTTCCTTCGTGGATGACTCCAGGAATGTTGAGAGCAAGCTATATATGCATATGATTTGTGTTTCTGAAAAGACTGCTTTACAGGAAAGATGAGTTCAGGTGAAAGTGTTGCAACTTTCTTTGTATTCCTAATACTAGAATTATGGGTAATATCGTCACGTGCAAGTCCAGTTATAATCAGGATGGTGAATATTCCAGTGTAATCCTAATGTTGATTCTAATTAACTATGGTGATGAAATACATAATACGAAACAAGACCCTTGTGAGGAAAAGCAGAGCAAATCAAAATCTTTGGTTGGCGAACTATTTGATAGTAAGACATAATATGATATGTGCTGTGTTAATTAAAAAAAATTAAAAATTATAATTATACTTGAACTGAAGATAATGAGACCAAAGAAATTCTATTTTTATAAGTTGGAACTTAAAAAGAGACCTTTCTACGTGCAGATTGACTTAAAACTTAAATTTCACTTTTCATTACATCATTATTAAAAACAATAGACATCAAATTTTCTCAACCAACTTTGAAGGTCCAGTCCATAATCATAATGGCAAACAATAAGACACTTGTGCACAATGCCAAATCAGCATGTAATCACCATATCACTCAATCAAAACTACAGTCAAACTGGTCTACATTCCCATTCATCTCTACAGAAATCTTCCACATGCCGCCCCACACACGAAGGATGTGGAGTAAATTTATAATAATACGATGAACGGTGCACACAGTGCATACTTAGAACCATGAAATCTTATCTCAAGGAGGAGGATTACCTTGTGATAACCTGGTACTGCTAAAAGATGATCCAATTCACCCAGGTACAAAAATAAAAGAGAAAATACAAACATGTCTGAGACTCAGTGTCATCGCCGGGGAGGGATTTAGATTCATTGATCGCAAGGTGAAAACCAACGTGGATCAGAACCATGGTGAGCGAGGGCTTTGCGTGTGGTAACATTATGGTCTGTGAATATGGTTAAATTTGGAAACCTAGATGGTTTCAGATCCATCGTGCGGTCAGCGCAACGAGGACCGCGTCGAACACGCGTGTTCGACGGTTTTGGTAAACGCCACCCGGGTGCACGGTCCGTGCCTGGATAGCTGTTCAACCCGGAGTGGCACACTTTTCAGGAGGGGAGCTGGAGAATCGTCGCCATACCTTGTGCCCATTTGGAGTCCAAGTACAGTCCCGGTTGTCGGGGGTGCGAGGTCCGTGCTGCCATGGGGGGAGCTGCCAGGATGTGGATCGCGTTTGTTGGATGTCGGAGACGACTAGAATTGTAAGTGGCCCTTTAATGAGCGTTGCGGAGCGGGATCAGTTGCCCCTGGCGCGCGGGTGATGAGCCAGTTTGAGGTGAGGACCACAGGGATTGGGACAATATCCCCAGCTCGACACTGCAAGTGTCTTTCTTGGGATGACCGATGGAGGCCATCGAATTCCGTTCAAAGTATAAGAATGAATCAAAGTAATGACTGAAAAAGCTCACTGGAATGACAAGCTGTTGGTTCCTACGAGGACGACGTCGAAGTAGAGGGTGGCGTTTGCTATCTTGGGTCCGAAGGTCGGTAATGCTCTTCAGGCGTGATACATAGCATTTAGAAGGGGACAGAGAAGGATCAGTTACAGTTAGAATTGTTTTGCCAGGACTTAGAATAATAGACTTACAATGGTCGCGAACATCTGCGACATTCTTCTTGTAGACGAGACCAGAGAAAGACGCGTCGATGTCGCTTCGGATGGACCGCCATCTTTGTTGTTGTCTTATGATTCTGAATCGTTAGGACGTGATGGTTCTGTAACATTGCCGATCACATTCCAAACAGGATCTGACAACCGAGAGTTCCTGAAACGAGCTCATGACGTTGGGGCATTTGAATCCTTCGAGGACCGCAGACGTAAGAGTGCGAAGCTCGATGAGCAGCTCGAATGCCTACAATCAGTTCTGCCATGTTCCACCAAGGTGTGACGCTGAGTTCTTTACAAACCGCCCATGTCGTCGCTTGGACCTATGGTTTGGTTTTTAAGGTGTTCTGTTATTCAGACTGTTAATCAAGCAACACGTATGAGTCGAAGATGTGTAACAGTTTACACAAGTGTAATGGACAACTAGTCTTTTCTGTGCACAGATGAGCAAAGAGAGAACATCTGTAGTCTCGGATGCATATCGGTACATTGGGACCTTGCAAAGGCAACTGGAAGAGCTCAAAGCTCAGGTTCCGGAGGAAGCTTATTCTGCCAGAACGCACCCTAAGGATTACGAGTCGAGAGAAATGCTTGATCAGCGGAATTGCTCGAGACAGCAGTGTGAATCACTGGAACGGTGTCCTATGGTTAGTGTAGATTGCCTCTCTTTAGTCAGTATTAGATTATTATTGCATAATGTTCTGATGCACTAGACTTAGATGCAGGAAAGTGACCAACTAGTTTCTTAATTGTGTGCGGCAGGTGGAGGTGGTAAAACGTGATGGACTCCTGGAAGTATGCATAGTATGTGTCAATCGTCCGGGGCTTCTTGTTGACGTGATGTCAGCTGTTGAATCAAGAAGTTTCGATGTGGTGCAAGTTCGGATTGCGTGCCATGATGACATCGTGGTGGAGTACTTGAGTTTAGAGGTGAGAACTCCCCATATCATGGCAACGAGTATCACATGATAGGAAGATATTCGAAATCTTCCAAAGAGTGGCTCTACATGCATGCATCAATTTCATTTATTTATTCATTTTAGTTTTTTTTTTTTATTATTATTTTTCTTTTAATAAAGTATCACTTGTTGTGAAAATGGCAGAGTGAGGACTCTTTAAGCAGCTACTCAGCAGAAGTTGAGAAGGATATAACTTCCGAAGAAGACAGCGTTAAGACAATGTTTGTGCATGCCATCTGCAAAGAAGGCTTCGATTGCGTTCTGTAATGATATTGCCCAAAGGTTGTTTGCTTCTCAAGTCACCGAAAGAATTTGAAAACGTCGATCATTTCGAACAGGCTTAAATTTCTCTTCGTTCACTATTGATTATTGCAATCATATCCGTAAATATCCCTGGAGAATCTCAAAGGTTCAGTACGACAGTATATCACTCGGCAAAGCTTGGCATCAACGATTGGCATGTACCATTAGGGAGTACTGAAGATTTTATGTACCATTAGCAGCTCTAAGATCACCTGGCCCTGAGAAATACCCATTGCGGAGCACACCTTGAGCCCACATCGGTTCGGTAATTCAGTCTTGGATTCTTCATTGCCCATCCGAACATAGATTCGACTCTGACGCTAAAATTAGTCTAGTTTCAGCGTTGACACTGCAATGATTCCACCTTGTAACACTGATCTAGTTTATTTAGAACCATTGGTGTCAGCAACCAGTTTGTACATCGTTGTTAGCACCGTGATGGTGCAATAGTTCTTTATGTTCAATGCCGTGTCTCCCTTCAGGAAGAAGCTGATGAGTCCATTGTTGAAGGCTCTGTAGAGGTGCCCTTCGTTGAAAGAGGTGTTGATGAGCGAGGTGACGTCTTGATCCATCGTATCCCACATTTTGATGAAGAATTCAGTGGAAATGGTGTCCTCGCCTGAGGCTTTATTCTTGAGGTGGTGTTTCGCAGCCTTGTGAACCTCCATCATAGAGATGGAGGTAGTGAGTTCTTCATTTTGCAAAGGGGTGACCTTCATCGGCACACTCCGTAGGCAACCGTCTCGCACTGCTTAGTTATTCTTGGCCCTCGGGTCGTTTGTATACAAAGTTTTATAGAATTGGTGGACGTGCGTTTTCGTGTTCCTACCGTTGGTAATCACTTGATCGCCAATTCTAGCTCTTATGTTTTTATTTTTATGAAATTCAAAAAAAAAAAATTGAGCATTTGTTACCCACTCGGCTCCACAGTGATGCCATTTTATTTTTGGTTGACTCTAGTTTTCCACTTCTGGCTTCTTCGAGGGTGGCCTGTGCCTGATTGAGGCTGTCCCATGCTTCCAAGTCTGACCAGTTCATTTTGAGGCATTATTCTGCTTCCTTGATTTTGTGAAATAGGCTTGCTTAGAATGCTTTGCATTGTCTCCTCCTATCCTTCTTTAGCTAGGTGCTTACCTTTCTTTTTTGTTAGAGGATAGTTGTGACTTTCTTCCTTGAGGTGCAGAGGTCAATGTTGGTCATTGCAAAGCATACGAGTCAAAACTCTACAACTAATTCACCTTCATAATAATAAATCACTTAACCACTTAACATCATCATTGTAACTTGGCTTATGTTTGATGTGTAGATGTTTAGGATTTCAATGGATTTCACTTTTACTTCTATGACTATAAATTATACTCAAGATTCTATAATGACTCCATCGTCTCAAATGCGGGTAGCTAGCTTGTTTAATATCAAATTATCAAGGATATGAATTTCAAAGAAAGAAATTCTCAATACACTCTTGTGTTAGTGAAAAGAACTAGAAAGTTATTCAAAGATGATGTAATATTGAATAATATTAGCTATTGCCAAAAATAAGAAGATTAAAAAATATTATTATTAGAAAGATTTGACTACAAGGTAGAATATAAACTTGAAAAGTTATATAATCAAACCAATTATCTTTTAAGATTAGAGGGGAAATTAAGCCCTATTCCTATTGATGACAACTTGTTAGATGAATCTCTTTTTATCATTTCTACCCATTAAAATTGATACAATCTCATTGTAGAATTTTTAAATTTAAATCGATTTCTAGAAGAATTATCTAAAAAAAAACATCTTAAGATTAGAATTAATAATGCTTATTTATTAATTATAAAAAAATAATTATATTATCAAAGAATAGGTGGTTGTCACGGCCATAATCATGTAAGCTAATAATTACATATAGAAATAGGTAGAAGTAAGTAAAAGTAGATAAAAGTAAGTTAATTCTATAATATTTAATATAGAAGCTTCCTAGAAACTTCCTAGACGCTGCTTTGACTTCATAGGTGTCTTTAATTGACTTTTTGGATTAGAAACGTGGTCAACAAGTTGGCCATGTGCCACACATGTTGTTAGCTTGAAGATCAAGCTAACTATGTGGCCCACACTTAGAAAAACTTGCCTTGTAAGTTAAGGCATGTGTCCTACAAAGTCAACACATATTGGAGGTCCTATAGAACGTCGCCACGTAGCCCCTAGTTAGATAGTATATATAGAGACAAGAGTGAAGGCTTCTTCACTCTTGTCAACTCCTTTCTTGCTTCTAGTCCAGGTTCAAGAGTTTTTAGTTTCTTGTCTTATAGCAATAGCCATTCCAGTTTCCTTTTAATATACCTACTTGTTTATATTTTGACTTATTATATCGAGATAGCCTTTTGGTGTATATTTTCCCTCATCGAGTCTTTGTCCTTGACAGATTGACAAGAGTTTACTTACAATATCAGAGCTTTGTTTTTTCTTGAGTAAGAGTGGATTACCCCTTTCTCTTGACAAGACATAAGCATATTAAAAGTTTGCGGATTACCCACTTCTAAACTGATATTGTTCTTAGTATCGTCTTTGTTATCAAGTCTTTCTTTTCTTTTGTCTTGAGTAATATCAAACAAATTTTTCTTCTTAGTGTCATTATGGCAGAGCTTGTTGAAATGAAGAGTGCAATGGCACAAATGCAAGAGCAAATGAGGGAGTTAATGCTTGCGATGCATCAACTCAATTCACCAACACAGGAAAGAACAAGAATAGCAGAAAGTGGAGATATAGAGATGATCGGAGCTGCTTCAACATCTACAACAAATCACGTTCCTTCTCCAATTGTACAACATCCTATAAGCACTAGAGAACCAAGAATTGCCTTACCTGAGAAATTTGATGGTACGAGATTAAAGTTTCGAGGGTTCATCAATCAAGTATAATTGGCAATTGAACTTCAACCGCAAAGCTATCCAACTCCAGGATCACAAGTCAGGTTTATTGGCACTCTACTTTCTGGTTATGCATTATCGTAGTTTTTGTCTTTTCTTGAACAACGAAATCCAATATTGGACAATTTGGAAGCTTTTTTGGCGGAGTTTCGATCTATGTATGGTGAACACGATGCAACTCGTGTTGCAACAAATAAGATCCGAATTCTACGACAAGGAAATTGCTCAGTAACAGTATATGCTTCACAATTTCGACAACTTGCAATTGACATCAAGTGGGATGATGCTGCACTCATCAGTCAATTTTTTTATGGATTGCAATACGAAGTAATGAAATTGATGCTCAACTTACTTGATCCTCAAACTTGGAATCAAGCAATCGATTTTGCGGTAAAATGTGATAATCGACTTTTCGAATTTCGATCCGAGAATCATTCACGGAAACCTCAACGTTATTACTCAATGGCAACATCAACATCTTTGCCAAACGTACATTCAGAAGTAGAAGACATGCAAATTGACGCGGTACGTTTTAAACCCCTAACTGAGCAAGAAAAGATTCGTCGTCGTCAAGAAGGATTATGTTTATATTGCGGAGAACCTAAGCACACTGCTCAACATTGTCCAAAGAAACGACGCAACTATAAAATGAGGGGTACGACGGTCAAAAAAGACAACATGTCGGAAAACGGATTCGTCCAGCTACAATAGGGACCGTGCAGCTGGAACCTTGTATAATTCCTAATGAAGGTCCTATCCTCTCCTCAGAACCCTCTCCTTGTTTTATAATAGACTTATATTTAGGACCTAAGAATTACAAAGCCTCTGCTTTATTAGATTCGGGAGCCTCAGCATGTTTTTTAGATGAACAATTTGTTAAAAGTCGTAAAATACCCTTTGTACAGAAACCTAAACCAATACATGTAGAAGTCATAGATGGTCGTCCCTTGTCTTCTGGAGATGTCACTCATGAAACTCATCCTATAAAAGTAACAATAGACGGTCATGATAGCTACATAGCTTTTAACATAATTAAATCCCCGTCCAATCCAGTTATTTTAGGTTTATCCTGGCTAGAAAAATATAACCCTCGAATAGATTGGAATTCACGTAAACTTGACTTTTCCCAAAGCGTTATTAATAGTTCTATCAATCAAGTAAAAAATTATAAGTCTAGTATAGTAAAACCCGTACTGATAGGTGCAAAAGCATTTATACACGCAGCAAAAGAAGGATCAACTTTTGCTATTTATGGTGCACCTATTTCTGAAAACGTAAAGACTTCAATTGGTATTCCAAGTCAATATCAGGAGTATCAAGACGTTTTTGAAAAAAAGAATGCAGATATTCTTTCTGAGCATCGCCCATATGATTGTTCAATCGACCTCAAGGAAGGAACTCAACCACCATTTGGACCAATTTATAGTTTATCGCAAGATGAGATGGCTGAACTCAAGACATATATTGACGAGAATTTAGCGAAGAATTTCATACGCCATTCAAAATCTCCAGCAGGAGCTCCAATTCTATTCGTAAAGAAAAAAGATGGATCTTTATGAATGTGTGTTGATTATCGAGGACTCAACAAGATCACAATCAAGAACAGGTATCCATTACCTTTGATATCAGGACTCCTTGACCAGTTGAATCAAGCTAAGATCTATACAAAAATAGATATAAGAGGAGCATATAATCTAGTACGGATCAAAGAAGGAGATGAATGGAAGACTGCGTTTCGAACCAGGTATGGACATTTCGAATATAATGTCATGCCCTTTGGACTCACGAATGCACCAGCTGCTTTTCAACATCTCATGAATGATGTATTTCGTGAATTCTTAGACAATTTTGTCGTCTGTATTTCGTGATTTCTCATGAGTTGCAGCTCCACTTATACGCTTCACTAGTAAAGATAAATTCCAATGGAATCAAGAAGCAGAAGCAGCATTTGAAGCCTTGAAGACATCATTTGTCTCTGCACCAGTCTTATATCGTGTTCATTTTTCCAAGGCATTTTTTATGGAAATAGATGCATCAGATTTTGCCTTGGGTGTAGTTTTATCACAAATGGGAACAGATGACAAACTTCATCCGATAGCTTTTCATTCAAGAAAATTCTCAACAGCCGAGATCAATTATGAGATCCACGATAAAGAACTTCTTGCGATCGTGGATTTCTTTCAAGAATGGCGTCATTATTTAGAAGGCGCTTCTAGTCCAGTCACTGTGTATACAGATCACAAGAACCTCCAGTATTTCATGTCAACATGCATGTTGAATCGTCGTCAAGCTCGTTGGAGTATGTCTTTGTCAAGATTCGAGTTCATTATCACTTATCGGCCAGGAAAACAACAAGGTTTATCTGATGCCCTATCTAGACGTTCTTATTTTGCACCAAAAGAAGGAGATGCAGCTTTTGACCAACAAAGATCGGTCCTCTTGAAACCGGAGCAATTTCATCTCCGAGCAATGAAATCAACATTGACTGTTGATTCAACTTTTTTCAAGCAAATCTAGTCCAGTATGTCCTCAGATCCTCTTGTTTATGATATCGAGAATAATTCTTCCAAGTCTCATGATCCTTCTAAGTTCGAGTTCAAGAATAATCTATTATATTTTGAAGGACGCCTATATGTTCCACAAGGAAAAGCACGTTTACGTGTTCTTCAAGCACGTCATGACTTTCCAACAGCAGGGCACTTTGGATATAATAAGACTTTGGAACTCATATCAAGAGATTTTTGGTGGCCACAAATGTAGAAGTCAGTCAAAGACTTTGTACAATCATGTGATATTTATTCAAGATCAAAAATTCCTCATCATCGACTTTATGGACTTCTTCAGCCATTACCTATACCAGAACAACCATGGTCTTCTGTTTCTATGGATTTCATCACAAATCTTCCAAGCTCAAGATCTTATGATTCTATATTTGTGATAGTAGATCGTTTCACCAAGATGGCACATTTTGTGCCATGTACAAAATCTATCACAGGTG